AGGAGCTTTCGTTCGTCCTAAACAACGAACACGTATTTCTTCAATATAAAAGGCTAAAAGGGCCTTTTCAATCTCAAATAGTACAATAATAAAAATCAGTTCAAAAAGTAGCCATATAGTTGGTGATTTTTTTCATACTTTCAGATCAAAAAATTCAGCTCAAATAGCCAAATCATGAAGTGTTTGGTGATTTTTTTTCATACTTTCAGGCTTTTCAGCCCATTTTAGGTGCTCCAAACACCCTCATAGTGATAAACAAAACAATACAACGTAACATTTACGTTTTGTTTTTATGCAGTATTGCAGTTATATTATTCTTGAGATTTTTTTCCTCACCTGATCATTAAGTGAAATTTAATATTACCTCCGTCCACTGAACTTCGTTAAGTTGATGTTGGGTGGAGAATTAGAATAATAAAAACTATGTGGTTGAAGTTTGTGTAGATAGAAAGAAATGAATAGAAGTGTAGAACCACAATTCATTGTTTTAAAAGAAATGTAGCAATTTTTTTAGCACAAACTAAGAAAAAGGAAATTGGAAAAGTAGTCCCAGGAGTATTGAATTGCATTCAGTTAAATCTAATCTAATACTCCGTATTGAATTTGATGTTGAGTGAAATGATTATGAGTTTTGATGCAAGATGTATTTCTAGATAATACGAAGTATGTAAGTTTTCATTTAGTTCGTGTATCATTATCTTGTTATAATCATACTAGTATTTCACCCGTGCGTTGCACGGGTTGTAAAACGTAGATATTATATATGTCAACATTTAAATGTAATTATAGATAATACGTAGTATATTTTATGACGTGAATGTGTGTGACCATTAATATATAACAACAAATAATAGAATTTTAAGCACACACTTTAATATTCTATCCGTGTGTTACATGACATGAAGTTTAATTATAGAAATTATAAATATTAATATACAAACACATCTAATAATATGGATATATAGAATTAAAATACTAATTTTCATAGCAAAAAGAAAATCATAAATAAAAATACGAAGTATTAATTTTAGAAGTTCAAAAAAACACATATTACTATTTTGAAGATCTAAGTATAGATAATGCCTTCAAAAGTTTTTTTCTAATTTTTTCGACGCTCCTCTTTGTCACTGTGTAACAAATCGTTAGTAGAAAATGGTTTTCAATGATATCCGATCACTCTTGCTCAAATAAGAGTAAGTCGGGTTAAATCCGGATTTGGGCCAATTCCGGGTACTCGGGCGGTCCAGTCCCGGTTCCAATCTTGGGCAGGACCTGATCCCATTTTATTATTTTCGTTTGCGAGGATTAAAAAATGGTCGGCCTGGGACCGGAACCCCTAGTTCGGTCCACGAATAGGTGAACTGAGACCAGGTGCCATTTATAAAGAGTAAACTCAGCGACTGAATATTTAAGCTATCAAGTGAAAAAGAAAAACAGAAAGTCAGGATTGCAGTTTGGTAACAAATGGTATATTGAGTTTGGTCAGGGTTTTCTTGGAGAAGTCGTGTATTAAAAATAAAAACATGCTCTTATGCTCTTATGCTCTTATTAACTATATACGCATGTCGCACCTATTATATGCTATGAGTGCCCAAAAGAAGCTTCACAAAATGAAGATTATTAATTGAATGATGATAAACTGATTAAACTGTAAAAAAGTTAGGGATAAAATATGATATGCTATCAAGTAAAAAAGAAAAACAGAAATTTAAGGATGCAGTTTGGTAACAGATGTTATACATTTTTTTTTTAAATTTACAGAAACTTAGGCTAAACTCAGTGTCTGAATATGTAAAAGATGATATGCTACTGAGAATTAAAATTGATTGAACAGTAAAAAAAAAGTACTACAATAGTGTTAAATACACCATCCAAGTATTTAAAAAATGTCAATTAGCTCTTCCTACATAAAAAGGCTCAATTGATGTTCTAAATTACAATATGAAATGTTCTGTTATAATTAGAAGGTATCAACATGTTTTGAGAAAAAATGTACAAATATCAACATCTTGGGCAAATGGAATCACCATGTCTTGTTTCCTGAAACAAAAAAAAGACCTCTTCATATACAATAGGATTGGAAATGACCCTCATATGCATTCTTCTTTTAATGAATTCTTAATAGACACACATGTGTTCTACATAAGTAAGGGTGAATTCAAACTTAGATGCAAACAGATGACACACACACACATTATATAAATGAAAATACAAATAGATAGATTGAATTGATGCCAAAATGAAAAGAAAAGGAGTTGAATTTGGTTACCTAGACATTCCTCAGATGATATTGAATACCATAGATTTTAAACTGTCAATACCTTTAACTTTAGTTCATATGCAGGGTTGTCTTTGAATCAGCTACCTCCCTGTTCAATGGGTCAGATGCGTTAGGGTACAATAGAAGTTGGGGAAAACAAACTTCAAATACGTGTACCAAATCTGCAGCACATACTTCCAAGCAAGACATAATAACTCATCAGTGTTTTAGCATTTATTTAGTTACCAAAGTTTCAAATATACATTTAACTTTCAGGTCATATGTATGGTGGTCTCGCATAATCAGAGCAGCTACCTCCCCATTCAATAGGTTAGATGCGTTATGGTACAATAGAAGTTGGGGAAGAGACACTTCAAATACGTTTACCAAATCGCAGCAGATAATTCCAAGCAAGACATAATAACTCATCCTAAATCCTTCTTATCAAACATGGAGCTCCAAGTCTGATTGATCACATCTAAACAAACTGAATGCCACCTGAAAACCAACATATTTTTTATAATATTCAGGAAAGAAAATAATTAGGTAAGTTTATACAGTAGAAAGTAAGAGCTACTTGTATTAAGCATTTAGTCACCTATGTCTCATCAACATTGGGGTGGTACATTTTATTAACAAAGCCAATGTATGGAGACCTATAAGGATAAGCAGGAAGTTCCACCCTTACTTTCCACACACCACCTTCATAAGGACCTATCACAGTTATCTCAATAGGCCAGTGTGGTCTCCGCCTTGCAGATGTTTCCACCAGAAGTCTCATGAATATACAGAGTATAATTAATATGACTCCAATATCAAATCAGCAACTACATCCGAGCATCAGTAAAACCAACATCCTATCTCCTAGTCATTGAGCCGCCCGATGCTCTGTCTCATCCACGCCAAACCCCAAACGGAATCCAGAAGCACCGCGAGCCGTCGGGACTGCCCTGTCGATGCCAGCTGAAATCGGTTATTTCACTTCTCGTAGCGATGTTCCTTCGGCTTGGATTGCAACTTCCACAGGAAGTAATGGAAACTTCTGAGTTTCACTGAGGCCTCTGCCGACCACGGGGGAGAGGATGGACTAACTATATACTCGGTATTAAACCAAGAAGATAATCACGTGAGGATGGACTTACTTTTTGACCATGGAATGGAAACCTAAAAGATGAATAGGCAATTAATGTGACCATGACCCCTTTCGCATTAACCAAGAAGATATCACCTGATTCGTATTACTGGCTTAGCACGCATACAACCATATACAGTGGAAATAGATATTTTCCTGACACATATCATACCTTGGCCACATGATGAGAACCGTTTTGGGCCACCCGGTCAACTCAAAATTTAACTACGGAGTAAAATTGTTTCAAGCATGTGAGTCTCGGACATGGTATTTACTTTTTGAATTGACATGCTTGACTTTAAACGGATCTTTCTTTATTTTCTTTTATTTTTATTCATTATATTGATGTGACACTTTTGGGCGGGAAACTCATCTGGTTTTCCACCTCTTTTTATATAGAGGTAGATACTCCGTACTATGTATTTGTTTTGGAATTTTTTTATTTTGATGTAGTTTCGAGCTACATACGAAGCACTACTTCCATCCTACTAACGTTGGGACAAGAAGGACAATACACTTATTAAAAAGTGGAATTTTATTGTTGATATTGAATTTATAAAAGAAGAATAAAATATGAATGATCTAGAATCATATAAACCTTATCAAATTTGGTATGAGACAATATTAGTGAGACAGGTCGAAAAGGAAAGATGAGATTAAGACAACTTTAAGAGTAAAATCTAACTAATTTGCCACCTGGCACCTGCTATTTATGTAGTACCACCTCGGTTCTTTTTTTATCGCAACATTTGACATTTTGCACTATTCACATATTCTACTTTGATTATATTTTATTTATTAATGTATTATACATTAAATTTTAAATTTTTTTTTGAATTCCTCTCATTTTAAATTTGGGAAAACTGTCAATAGGTCCTCGAACTTTCATAAAAAGAACAATTAAGTCCTTCTATAGGAGGTTCTGTCCGGCCGTCACGATTTGGGGCAGTTCCCGGTGGAATTTTTTGATGAAATTTTTTGAGCATCTTATTCACCAAGTCTAGTTTACTCATACCAAATTTCAGATAAAAATTCAATCGAGAACACATTCAAATTAATTCTTAAAGATAATTGTGCATTTTTACGTTCTCGAATTAATTTGAATGCGCTCCCGATTAAATTTTTAGCTAAAATTTGGTATGAGTAAACTAGACTTGATAAATAAGATGCACAAAAAATTTCATCAAAAAATTCCACCGGGAACCACCCCAAATCGCGACGACCGGACAGAGTCTCCTATAAAAGGACTTAATTGACTTTTTTATGAAAGTTCGAGGACCTATTTGACAGTTTTCCCTTTAAATTTTGAAAATCTGAATTTTTTAATTTTTTTTATTTATAAAGAATGAAAGATATTAATGGTCAAACTTGGACATTGGCAAGAATGAAAAGTTGATCGTTGCAATTAAAGAAGAACGGAGTAAGTATAAGAATGTTTAATTTAAAAAGGGAATCTTCTTTTCAATTAACGTGTTGTCTCATTCTCTCTGACTGGGCCAAACAAATTCAATTCCTTTGCCATTTTACTTTCCCAGCAAGTTTACAATTCAACTTCATTCAGAACCTCATTGGAAGACTTATAAATACATGTCACATATCCACATATGACTAAAACAATCCTCTATCAAAAATTCACCCAAATCTGTGCTAAATAAATACACCATATATTAAAAAAAAAAAACAAATACACCATATATATTTTTCTTCGACAGAATACTCCCAGGCCAGAAGTTTAAGGCTTTAATTTTCAAATTAAAGTTACAAAAAGTCCAACCAGTTGGAACTTGGAGGCCTCATCTCATCTCAATGTTTACCCAGAAGAATCATAACCATGTTTTGGGGCAAGAACTCCAAGAAGATCATAAACATGATATTCCAGCATACAAAGAAGTTGTGGCAAAGAGCAAAGATTTTCTCATGACAAATTTTCCAGATATTTATGATGAGTCCTTACATGTCCTTGAAAAGCTTGAGGAGATGAAAAGGCAAAGAAAGGAAAGGAAAAGTCGGGTTGTGCAACGAAGTTTGAGTCTCGGCTCACCCCGAAAGTTTAAGCTTCAAAGATTTAGAGTAAAGACTCCAAATGTAATTCTCGTGACTCGACCGGAGGGTCAAGGTGGTCAATTTAGCAACCAAACTAATGGTTCCAAAGACCTTAGTTGATCTTAATCATTATTTTGGAAATTAATAAGTTGCATAAACTGTACAATTATATTATAAGTTGTATATGTGAACATTACATTATTACCTTCTCTAGTGAGTAGTGATTTAATTTTATTCCATATTGTTTCTCGTTTAGCTTTTTTCGGTTTATCAGAAATTCGTAATTGTTAGTCGCTTACCTAGCTCTTTTTTTTTTTGCATCAATGTCACTGGGACAACCGGAGATATAATTGAAATATGATGTTTACTTATTTACAAATTATGAAATTATGTGTAAACCATAGTTCTATTTTTGTAAAACATGTCTCACGTGTGTTGTGTTTTGTCCAAAAGATTTAGCAAAAGTTTAGTCCCAAAAACACTATGGCATGGTTTTGAAATAATTAACCTATTTATCCCTACACCTTATGTAATTTCTTTTGGGGAAACACAACCAGACATCTTCCAGCATTACGAGGTAGGAAGGTTTTTGTTAGCGGACGGAGATTAACCAAGTGTAGGCTTCGTATTATATAACCAAGTGTACAAGACAGATTTTACAAATGAATGAATAGGTTTTAGCATCTACTAGTATAGTACCCGTGTGATGCACGGCATAAAAAAATATTTTGTACTTTGAGAATGCTATTTCATAAAATAAAATTCAAAATTCAAAAAGCTATCAAATGATATACATGTAGAATATGATAAAAAGAGCATATATAAGTTGTGATACTCTGTATTAAATATTAATACAAGTCACCATTAAAAAAATCAAAACTAGAAAAAATTAACTATGCATATTGAAAAATATTTACACTTAGTTAATTAGACTAATTCATTCAGATTATTGCCCAATAATATTACGTTTTACTACGATAGTAATGGTTTAATTTCCAAATGAGTACAATTGATTAATTTGCTATTTAATGAGTATTGTATGAAGGTGTTTTAACTAACTTATAACATTTTCTATTAAAAGTACTTCATTTGCCAAACACTAACACCATTAAAGTCATTTTTCTCAAATATTATCTACTTTTATTAATAAATACTCCCTCTGTCCTTAAAAGAAGTTCCATTTCACTATTACTTGGTCAACTTAAATCACTCTTAATCTCTTACTTTTTATATCAAAATTTTATAAAAGTTGAATTATTTTTTGCAGGCTTTGTAGCGGGTTTACTGTAGTTTCTGAATATGTAAATTTTATTTACTAAAAATAATCCGAGTTTTCACATGGATCATTTAACTTTATCGTCGGTCAACCTCGTAATCCGCAATTGGAACAACATTTAGGGACGGAGGGAGTACTTTTTAAAATTCATTTTCAAAATTGCTTAAAAGAAATAGGAACAACCCCAACACTAACACTGCCTAACTGCCTAAGTGTACTTTTAACGATCCAAAACATTAAAGGAGTGTTTGCAGTTGATTAAAAAAAGCACTTTTCAGCTTTTGGCTTAAAAAAAGTAAAAAAGAGTGTTTTCAAATGACAGCTTCTGCTTAAATTAATCACTTAAAAGCTAAAAGCTGGAAGCAGGTAGAAGGGTGCTTTAAACTGCTTTTCACTTTTTCTATTACACAAAAAGTACTTATTTTACCAAACACTACCAACTTACTTTTTCAGAATCACTTTTTCCTCAAACACTATCAACTTTTACTATTAATCACTTTTCCCCAAATCACTTTCAAAAAACACTTTTTTAAAGTTGAATGAATTGCAAACACTCTCACCCCTCTTTAAGGTAAAATGGGTCCTAGAAATAAACGCGTTGGACAATCCATTAACACTTTTCAATGTTTCTCCAACTCCATCGAAACCTTCTTATCATAGGCAGACACAAATATGAGATAACTTTCCTGGCCTTATCAGTTATCACTAAATATGTCTCTTGCCCAACTTTTCTGATCTCTTCTTCCTCTAGCCTCAATGTCTCTTGTCCTTATCATGGCCCTCAATCAACACTCACACTCCTAAGGCTAAAATATTCCCAACCATTTGAATCCTCAAATCTATTCAAACAGAAACCCCAGTTAAGAGGAGAACCGCATCACTCTTATAGTTTTATCATTGGCGATACCAGCTGCATGCGGTAACTTTAGGCGGAGATCAGCTTCCCTCACATTTGTACTTTGATTATGTGTTTTTTTTCCTTTCAAATTCTTATGTTTCTACCCCCTAATTTTGAAGTTATTTGCATTCGTTTGTGGTGCCTTCAGTCGAGTTCAGTGTTTACAACGGCGACTTCCTCATCTGGGCCGCCGCCTTCATGGGTCCCGCCTCTCTTCACGTGGACGCCAACGGTTCCGAGTTTGCAGACCATGCCACAGCAATCTTCATTCGTCGTCGGAGAATCCAGCAGTACTGCCAACCGACTTTTCAAACATTCTTTTTTATCTGTTCCCATATAAACTCCTTTTATCTTTTTGACAAAAAATATAGTTCAGAATATTTGGTTCTGACTTTCTCTTTCATCCCTACAAATTTAGACCTTTTTAGGAATTTTAGCCACTCCAAATTAGAATATAATTAAAAATTGACATCCTAATTAAGTGAACAAAACGAGACTATTTGACTAAGAAAAGTCAAATTTGCAACTCTTCGATGGCGGCTTGGACTACATCGTCCAGGTAAATTTTCCAGATATTTATGATGAGTCCTTACATGTCCTTGAAAAGCTTGAGGAGATGAAAAGGCAAAGAAAGGAAAGGAAAAGTCGGGTTGTGCAACGAAGTTTGAGTCTCGGCTCACCCCGAAAGTTTAAGCTTCAAAGATTTAGAGTAAAGACTCCAAATGTAATTCTCGTGACTCGACCGGAGGGTCAAGGTGGTCAATTTAGCAACCAAACTAATGGTTCCAAAGACCTTAGTTGATCTTAATCATTATTTTGGAAATTAATAAGTTGCATAAACTGTACAATTATATTATAAGTTGTATATGTGAACATTACATTATTACCTTCTCTAGTGAGTAGTGATTTAATTTTATTCCATATTGTTTCTCGTTTAGCTTTTTTCGGTTCATCAGAAATTCGTAATTGTTAGTCGCTTACCTAGCTCTTTTTTTTTTTTGCATCAATGTCACTGGGACAACCGGAGATATAATTGAAATATGATGTTTACTTATTTACAAATTATGAAATTACTACGTATGTGTAAACCATAGTTCTATTTTTGTAAAACATGTCTCACGTGTGTTGTGTTTTGTCCAAAAGATTTAGCAAAAGTTTAGTCCCAAAAACACTATGGCATGGTTTTGAAATAATTAACCTATTTATCCCTACACCTTATGTAATTTCTTTTGGGGAAACACAACCAGACATCTTCCAGCATTACGAGGTAGGAAGGTTTTTGTTAGCGGACGGAGATTAACCAAGTGTAGGCTTCGTATTATATAACCAAGTGTACAAGACAGATTTTACAAATGAATGAATAGGTTTTAGCATCTACTAGTATAGTACCCGTGTGATGCACGGCATAAAAAAATATTTTGTACTTTGAGAATGCTATTTCATAAAATAAAATTCAAAATTCAAAAAGCTATCAAATGATATACATGTAGAATATGATAAAAAGAGCATATATAAGTTGTGATACTCTGTATTAAATATTAATACAAGTCACCATTAAAAAAATCAAAACTAGAAAAAATTAACTATGCATATTGAAAAATATTTACACTTAGTTAATTAGACTAATTCATTCAGATTATTGCCCAATAATATTACGTTTTACTACGATAGTAATGGTTTAATTTCCAAATGAGTACAATTGATTAATTTGCTATTTAATGAGTATTGTATGAAGGTGTTTTAACTAACTTATAACATTTTCTATTCAAACACTAACACCATTAAAGTCATTTTTCTCAAATATTATCTACTTTTTTTAATAAATACTTTTTAAAATTCATTTTCAAAATTGCTTTTAAAAAAAAAATAGAAACAAAGCAACCCCAACACTAACACTGCCTAAGTGTACTTTTAACGATCCAAAACATTAAAAATAGCTCACACCCCTCTTTAAGGTAAAATGGGTCCTAGAAATAAACGCGTTGGACAATCCATTAACACTTTTCAATGTTTCTCCAACTCCATCGAAACCTTCTTATCATAGGCAGACACAAATATGAGATAACTTTCCTGGCCTTATCAGTTATCACTAAATATGTCTCTTGCCCAACTTTTCTGATCTCTTCTTCCTCTAGCCTCAATGTCTCTTGTCCTTATCATGGCCCTCAATCAACACTCACACTCCTAAGGCTAAAATATTCCCAACCATTTGAATCCTCAAATCTATTCAAACAGAAACCCCAGTTAAGAGGAGAACCGCATCACTCTTATAGTTTTATCATTGGCGATACCAGCTGCATGCGGTAACTTTAGGCGGAGATCAGCTTCCCTCACATTTGTACTTTGATTATGTGTTTTTTTTCCTTTCAAATTCTTATGTTTCTACCCCCTAATTTTGAAGTTATTTGCATTCGTTTGTGGTGCCTTCAGTCGAGTTCAGTGTTTACAACGGCGACTTCCTCATCTGCGCCGCCGCCTTCATGGGTCCCGCCTCTCTTCACGTGGACGCCAACGGTTCCGAGTTTGCAGACCATGCCACAGCAATCTTCATTCGTCGTCGGAGAATCCAGCAGTACTGCCGCCCGACGTTTCGCCGGCCCCACCTTCTCGGGCAATCCGGGACTGCTACCGCCGTCAAGCCCCGGCCCGGTTGGACGTAGAGACATCCCTCCTATCCCTACCTCGTTTGCAACTCTTGCTCAAGGTATGGGTTTCGGGGCTTCTTCTATCACTACTATTGTGACCATTAAGTTACTAGCCGTTGAAGATTATTTGTCCTGGCATACTCAGTTTGAATCCTTCTTGGTCTCTAACGGTCTTTTGGGTATACTTGATGGATCTCTACCTGCCCCATCTCTATACACTTATGATTTATATCAAACCCAAACCATGAATCCTGAGTATTATCATTGGTTGAGATTAGATCAGACTGTCCGTTCTTGGTTGTTTGCTACCCTCTCTCGTGATATTCTTGTTGAGGTGCATCAATTAAAGAATTCAGCAGCCATATGGGAACGTTTGGAGGCTCGTTTTATGGCTGCCACTTTGGCTCGATCCATGGAATTAAAACAAATGTTATCTCACATGAAAAAGAAAGAAAATCAATCCATGGATCAATATTTACTTGAAATCCGGAAAATTGCTGAGTCCCTGGCATCCATTAATTCCCCCGTGTCTGACCATGATCTCTTGCAATATGCACTT